GCCGGTTTCCAGATTTGCCTGCACTATCAAACACTTAGCTGCCCATCCCCATCCCATGCATTTGCTTTCTTTGGACATTTCAAAGCTTGACCACATCCATTCCAGTTGGGAGTGGTCATAGTGGTAATTTGGAAGCGCAAGTGTTTTTTAGCAAGTGGAATTGCAGTCAAATGATGATGATTTTACTACTGTCATTTAGTAGTGCTAGTAATAGTGCAGCACCTCAATTTTTTTTTTTTTTTTTACTTTCTTGTTTCTTGATTGGATGACTTCAGGTGAGAAAGTCGGATCCTAAGATGTAAACCGTGTAAGAAGGCGGCCCCACTTTGTCGGAAGAAATGATCTTTTAATGTTGTGTAGATTGAGCAATTTGGTACTTGGCAATGGCATGGCGTCTCTCATTAGCACTCGGATGTTTCTAGGACAGGAGGAGATAGGTGCTAAGGTTGCTAAAGGTGTACGACTGCGAGTATCAGTTTGGCTGTTTTGAGGATTACAACTTCACCATTTCGGACATTTCAGGTCAAATAATCTGTGAACAGAAGCAAAAGAATTATCGGACATGTGCACTACTAAGTAAGTAGGAGTAGTAACTAATAATAAGGAAAGGTTTTTCCACTATGTACCATATAAAGTAGAAGGGAGGGTTTTAGCGTAAATAAATTGTGTCATTTAATGTATTGTTTAATCTACTCTTACACTTTTAAAATGAATTATTATATCATTTTAACAATTTATCTCTGTACAATCGCTTTATATCACCTGATGAATTAGCTACCACTCCTCTAATAAAAAACTATCTTTTTTTAAAAAAAATAATAATACAAAAGTTTAATTATTTTAAATTACTATTTCCAACAAAAAAAAAATTAGTACTAACCATTTTTAATATCTTTTTGTTAGTAGCACATACATTGGATTGGACGTGCCTTAACCACTAGTATATATAAAGAGAGATGTAGGGTTTGGGATAAATACTTTTTATCACTTTATATACTTTCAACTTTATTCTTATGAAAATTACTTTGCTACCTGAACATGAATTGCTAAGATAACTACCTGTAACTATGCATTATAACTATATAAATACATCTTGACAAATATAACTGCCTCTAAGCATTGTAACTAGTATAGATAAAGGCAGGGATAACATTGAAAAAAAGATTAAAAAAATAAATTTAACTTTAATGAAATGACAAATATTTTGAGACATTTCAGTGTGATAATTTTTTTTTTAAGAAAAAAAGATTGAGAAGGTAAAGACTGTTGGTAATAATTTGTAATGAGAAAGTTGAAGTTCATTGTCCCACATTGAAAGAGGATAGAGTGCTCATTCTATATATATATATATATGTATATCCCTGTCTTGTTTCGTTAACAAACTTGTTCCAAAATATTAGTTTGGAGGGAAAGTTATTTCAATTTATATCTCATACACTTGAATATGAATTGAAAGATATATAAAACTTCTTAACAAGGGCACTTGGGCACCTTGGACCTTGGGGCTTTCTGAATAGGGAAGGGTGTTAATTAATTGTCTAAAATATTTATTTTAGATAATTAATTAGAGGTAATTAATGACAGTTACATTTAATAGACATATATGTTAAATGGTTAACTAACTATATACCTATTCAATAAGGATTACATCCTTTGATAGTGTCTTGGATAGCTGTTTCAATTCTTTAAAATAATAGGATTTTGACAGAGTTAAATCACTTTTTTATTGATAGTTCTTAAACTTTTTGTATCTTAGAGATAATTTGTCTAATATAGAGGCAAATAACACCTCAAGAAATGTGTTTTTCACATCTTAAAGTCTCTACATTTGTCTAGTTTAGATTAGTTATTTACTATATTTCCAACAAAGACCTCAAGAAAGCTGCACTCTTGAGAAAGGTCTCCTGCAGCTGCGGATATTTTTGGCTATTTTTGGACATGGCAGCTATCCGTCTATATACCTCGAAATCAGATATTTTGGGGCAGAAAACACGACGATTAGATTCGACAAGTGCCGATTGACAATACGATTCCCATTTTGTAACTTTTGTTGCTTTGAGGGAATCCTACAAGAATTGGAGTTTACTCTTTCTTTCTCCCCCAGTTGCTGATAAATTTTACAATTTTGGTTAGAAATTATTAGCACAAACTAGTTTTGTACCCATTCATTGAACGGGAATCTTCGAAAAATAATAAACTATTTAGTCAATTTTATAAAAATGTCGATATAAAATACAAACTTAATGTCTATTTTATGATAACCTTTCTTAAATATATTACTATATGCGCATTGTAATATAAAGTATTCTTATAATATAAATTTGAACATCTAATAATTTACTTCGGTAATTAGTTACTTTTCTACTTCTTGTAGTGATAACAATTCTTATTTACTTCGATTCCCTATGCAGTACACAAATTATTGGCATGAATTTGGAGATATATCTAATAGAGATATTTATGTCTCTTTTATGTATATTGCATTACTTTCCAACAATTCCTTTTTTGGGTAGGAAATAAGAATCATATAATATTAAGAATTCTTATAGGAAATAAGAATTGATATATATATAAACAAAAAATGAGCAAACCACGTAGGAAACTACTTGCCGTCTCGTTAAGCCACATAGGAAAAAGAAAATATGAAGGGATAAGAATGAGAATACGATTTTATTATATATATATATATATGATTTTACAATTTTGGCGCAGGCCGTGGCCGTGGGGACTGGGCAGCTGGGCCTGGCTTGCACCCATTGTCGATGGAAAAACAGGCTTAAACATCAAAGAAACAGTTGAGAACCCATTTGTCTGTTTCCAGTTTTTTTCAAGTACCATTACCAATAATTTGAGGGATTTTTTGTCCGGGATTTTGTTTGCAGCCTAAAAACACTCCAAAAGATGGGGATGGTCAGTTAAGATTCGGCCATCCTATGAATTATTCTGATACTGGCATCTTAGACAGTCACATTCAATTATGTAAACGACTCTTCTGGCGAAATCCAAATAACAGTAAGCAACTCCTCTAGTTTTTTTGTTATATACACCCTAACAAGGAAAGGGTGGAATTTAAGGGGGGAAAAAAAAGGAAAGGAATAAGGAGAATTAAAATTCAGAATCTCTAATTTTTGGAATTTGAATTTTATCCACTGGACCAAGACAACCTCAATGATATTTGTGTCTCTCCAGAAAGTGATATTTGTGACACCAAATTTGAGAACACCGGGAGCAGATTTAGGTACCGAAAAATTTGGAGCTGTATTCTCTAATGTTTAGTATAGGGGTGGACACATATTGGGTATCTGCCCATCCACTATTTAGCTAATCCAACTCGCACCTTGTGGGTCAGTCATTTTCTAATCTTTACCCGCATCGCATATCAATGAATATCCGATTATAGGGTATCTGTTGAAATAGAGTTGGATCAACAAATACCCGACCCTGCCTCACTTATCATTTAATTTTTTTTAAAAAATTTGTATTAATTTAATTTTATATTTTACACATTCATCTAAGATTTAATAAAGATTTTTTTTCTCTAAAAAGTCTTCCACCAAGAAACAAGTATGCGAAGAGAATACAAGATAAAGAAAAAATTTTAAAAAATTCAAAATCAATAAAAATTTGAAATAAGTAGTACTTTTTTTTAATATATGGCCCACATTAATTAAACTCTTTTTTTATAAAACATAAAATCATGATCTCTACAAATAAATCTTGTAAATAAACTATAGTCTCTCATATTTGCAATGCAATTTGTTCAATGAAATTACTTATTTAACTCTAAATTATTATTTTGTAATGTGTATATAAAAATAAATAAATAAATAAATAAATAAATATATATATATATATATATATATATGTGCGGATTTGATCGAGTACCCACGAATTTTTAATTATATAACCCTAACCCGCCCCCGCATCTTAACGGGTACTCGACCCTTTTTTGACCCAATCAATAATACAAATCCGGTATCCTAATTTTCGGATCGAATCGAATATGGCGGATTTTCAGGTTAATGGATAATTTTGCCCACCCCTAATTTAGTTACTATGCAGTTTTAGTTCTTAAACTTTAGATAAACATAAATTTGATCCGAAATGTTTAGTGGATACTGGCATATTCAATCACAGCAGATTTAGGACAATTAAATTTTTTTTTTTCAAATTGCGGATAAAATTTAGTTATGTACAATCATGTGTCCACCAAATTGAATTTAAAAATAAAAAGCAAAACAGCGGCTAACTTTAAACAAGGGACTAATAGCACATGAGTAAAAATTAATCAATAAAAAAAATTGATAAACCACAAAATTTAAACCGGTTGGAACATCTAGTTCATTGATCCACCATTCACTCTCCTGATTAACATTTGATTTTTGTGCCATCACGTGAGTTATTTTTATTGTTTAAAATTTAGCCGCGTTCTGTTTCTTTTTTTAACAAAAATTAATTTAGCAAACACGTGACTCACGTGATTAGGTTTCATAAATACTTGGGATGACCTGTCAATTGTCTTGAATTTGCTTCAAATTGGAAATATTGGGAACCAAATTTTGTTATGCCAAACCTTTAGGAACTAAAAAATATCAGAGGCGCCATACACTGGGGATTCAATTTTTTTTTTTTTTTTTTAAAAATCAAATCTTTAGAGACTAAAATCGCTCAGGTACCAAATATTAGATATTTTTTTCCCTTGTAAGCCTAGATATGTCTAAACAAGAACCATTTATAAATAAAGAGCATTAGATTTGAAACCTACTCAGGAAATTGCCTTGCCAAATGGAATGATGACCAGCTTTCAGCTTCACTAATTAATTTTGGTAAATTCCGTAAATCATCAATTTTCATAGGAGATTAAGAAGGATCATTTCGCCGTTTGACCTGAGGATATGATATAAGAATAGCAACAACTTCTCAAAATGAAAAGTTCCTCCCCCCCGGCCAGATACTACAATAAGCTAATGAAAGAAATCATAGAAATACATACAGTTGCGTGCCCACAAGAAACTCGTTAAGATATATTTCAGGTTAAGAAAAGCAAATAAATACAAGAAATAATATGCAAGATTAAATAAGAAAAATATATAAATGCAAATAATTGTTAGTACGTGTCTATATTTGATAGGTTAGATGAACGATATCGAGTGTCCTAAAGCACCCCCGCTAGAAAAATTCAAATATATATTCTCTTCCAGGGTCAAAGTGCCACCAAGTGTCCCCTACCTTGTCTTGGTGCCTTGAAAAGGGACAAAAATGGATAAGCCCGATTATAATCTATCTATAGATAGAATGCAAAGAAGCCAAATCCAGCAAGGCATGTAGTTCAATCAGATCTCCACAGGATTTTTTTCCAAAAAAAAACTTCATCTTGCACGTCTCTAACTCGATCCAGCACACAAGGATGCCCAAAAAATCATGACAAAATACAGCAGAAGTGCATTTACATTCTTTCAGACTTCCACAGAATTAGCTTATTTTACCTTTGAGCAACTTTCAGCAATGAGATGGAACGAGATAATGACCAAGTGATGGTGGAAACGAAGACTCTCATAATTCTTCTTCTTGAGAACCCATATTAGTATATATGACAAAATGGAAAAATTAAGAGCTAACACCTTCATCTAGCATCACCAATTGCCAGTGTTTACTACTTCACAGAATGGTAGGTTTCCCTGTTGTCCAACGAGCAAAAATGCAAAGTACGTATTGTGCATGAACACACAAACAATTAAAAGATCATAACTACAAGGGAACAGAAGAAACTAGTCTTGATGAGCAGAAGGAACATGATACCAAAAACTCCTGGTAGGTAAACTGCAAATCCCTCTCGCTTAAAATGCAGAAAGAAAAGGTTCATCTCATTTCCTGATTTCAAAAAGGGGAGATATTTTGCCATGCTTTAGGATATTCTGGTGCTTTTCACTTGATGCATGTGGGGCAAGTAGACCAAACTGTTCATAGGCGTTGTCAAAGGCAACCAACTGAGCATGAATGCAAAAACTTTTAATCCCAAACCAAGAAAGAGTTTAAAGTTAAAGGTAAATCTTGTTTACCTAACCATAAATGGGGCTACATTTTCTACTCTTTTCCCAGTCACAATTCTATAAGCATCCAGACTAAAATATGTTCCAGGCATCGCCTATGTTTAAACTATAATCAAGATGAATCCTCCTGTTCAACACATCTTGATCACTTCTGTAACCAAGCTGTGAAAACACTCAAATTAAGCGTAAGCACACCGTATCTTGTTATCAGAGTCCTAGAATGCACAATGTCCAGGTAATTTGGAACTAAAGTTATTTTCGTACAATCCAACAAAGGTCCATCTGATGTGTGACAGATTTAATCTCCCTTTCTCAGATTTACCTCCAACAGTACCCTTTGGTGAAGTAAAAAATGCCCCATCAAGGAACCGGTAAAGCCTTATCATTATCACCATCTTGCAGTGAAATGGAAAGTTGCCAGTGTAACATGTCTTTCCATTTCTTTTGAACTATGTTGTTCTTTTTCTTAATATACAACAGTTCAGTCAGATACTAGCAAGTTCCAGATCTAAAGGAGATCTATAAAGCTTCTAATGACAGCCTAATGTATGAGGTACCATAGCAGCATAATTTCAAAGCTAAGGAGGGCCAAAATGAGTACAGCTACGAAGAAAAGAAAGACTGCTTTTGCCATTCGGCTAGGAACAAGTATCAAATAGCAAGCAAAACAGATCAAGAACCCTAATGAAACTCCTTTTTCCTCTCCTTGTACACCTGAAATGTTCAGAAGCTAGACAAATGTGGCAAGAGCTTTGGTGGAGAAAAACTGTTAAAATTACAAATCCAAAAAGTGGAATCCCAATAGTCCAACTCTAATGGTAGCTCAAGAAATAGCCTATTCACTTTCCTTAGAGAACTTAGGTATTGGAAAAGCAATCTTCTTCGTATATTTGCACAAGTTAAAGACTGGTTGAAACATTATTCCAGTTTAACAAAATCACGTAGGACAATATTTACAAGGATTTGGTTGAAAGCACAAGAACTGAGGAAACTAATAAGATGAGTGGCTATTCATCAGAATGCAGAGCAAGAAAAGTATCATATCCAGTGATTTCTCCATCACGATAGATAGATCGGACAGATATGAATCAAGCAACAGGCATCAAAGGAAGATTAAACTCAAGAGAGATTTCACTAATTAAGAATATACAAAAAACGTGTACAAAATCCCCAAACTGAGGATAAGAAGCAGTTTCACGCAAGGGTGATAGTGCCTTATTAATTTCAGTTCCAGTGCTATGGGATCCAATGGAGGGTCTGCCTACCATATCAAATTCCAAGTCACTTTAGACAATACAAAAGATCTTGCTTTTTCATCAATAGAAATTTAGTCACTAGATGTTATGTAAGGCTTCTTCTTCATTACTTGAGCATTTTAAAGCTCTATAACTGATTCTTCAACAAGTAGTTCAGATATTCCCATAGGTGGTGTGTTTCAACTTTCAAAAGTACCAAAAAGCAAAGGTGCCATAAATATGCTTTTCACCATGAAACTTACCCAGATTAAGACAATCTAAAAGCAGAGGTAAAAAGCAATAAAGGACAGAAAATAAGACGTTCAGAAGTGAGCTACCTAGAGTGCTGATTCTAAGCTGAAACTAGCCCCAAATCATTAATGATGAAAGCAGCTTGTTGCTCATGCTAACAATTTCACATGGTCGTGCTCAAATACAGCAAAGATACTCACACAAAGTTAAGCACAGTGACCACAGAAACAAGAATTAAAGTCAGACACAGACTGTAGACTCAGAATTTGGATTCATAACTCCTCTCTTCCTGCCATCATCACCCCCCAGTTAGCAACTCAGTAATAACATAAAAATATTTAGCAGATGGATGAACACAAATGGCTTCATCTTTCACCAGTTTCAGAATTACAGATTCTACAGATCAAAATTCTTCGCACTTTTCAAAGTAACTTTTGAAATGGCAGTTATCAAACTGTGTCATCTAAATGACAATTGTGCCCCAATCTTACAGCATCTTCTGAAGTTTATAAGCATGCAGTGATGGAGATTCTCCAACCATTTGGTACTTATCAACTATTTACAGTCTGGGGGAACACTAGACTTCTATCAAATGTAATCAAACAATTAAAAAGAAGAAGAACAAGAGCTTGAAGATTTTGAGGCAAAATACAAATATACAACTGAGAGAAACTCAACCATTTCCTGACACGCACTACAATATATGACCTTGAGTGAAAAATCCTCTTGCAGAGCTTCAGAGATACAGATGAGCTATGGCAACAACAAAATTGCAATCAATCTAAATTAACAAGCTCCAGCTTATTGTAAAAATGAGATGAGATGACAATTTGATTCACCCACCTAAATAGTTAAGAAAATTCAATTCACCAGGAGGCAGGAAACATATCTATGAACCAATTCCAGAATGTAGCACATCCATATAACTGAGTTTCCTTCAAAATAGCACAGCAGGAATTTCCCTTAGCCTTCTGTGGTCCATATCCAGACCACATGCAACACATAGAAGAGCTTTGCTACAAATATTAGACAAGTTTCTGAGATGACTTGTGCAAAAAATTTTTTTGCATTCCTGCTAAGATGAGTATTGATAAATGACTGCACAGATTTCACTTTTAAAAACCTGGATGAAACAGAGAACCCACTTCTAGCTGAAAAAGTTTTAACAACTCAAGTAACCGATTTGAGACCATTCTCTTCTACGCACTATTTTCTCATTCTCTTTCCATTTCTTATCTTCTATTTAGTATCCCTTTCTTCTTTTCCTCTGGGTAATACATATACTGTACCTCAGATGCATGATCATGTGAAAACTTTCATGAACAGACCTATGCAAAAACAATGCATTAATAATAGTAGCAGCAAAGATCGCATTCTCAAAGGCCAAAACTTTTCTGAGCTTTCCACAACACCGAAATCCTGATAATGCTACTTCATGTGGTCTCAAAGAACATGAAGACAACAATTCCTCCACAACTCATGCTACTTCATCGAATATCATAAACCGACATACTTCCCCAGTATTTTGATCTTTGTTCATAAACCGACATACATCGAATATTCAAGAAAGTATACAGATATCAAAATTTGATCTTTATATCCCTACAGTTCCTACACCTTTGAAATCATTCACCTCGAATTTTGCATTTTGATTTATGTTCCCCACAAAAGCCTCTGCCAGGTAATCGAATATCAAATCCTCAAAATTTTTACAAAAAAAAAAAAGAAAAGAAATCATCTTTTTGAATCTTTTTTATGAGGAATGAGTGGAGGAATCCAATTGAAAATTAAAACAACCAAGCAATTCCCTTGAAAATTTCTCCTTTCACTTCTAATCATCTTATACAAAATTTAACTGGAATCCAAATGTGGATTACAATCTGCAGCATAAAAATCATTCTTTTCAATAAAAACTTTCAACATGTCATAAGTAAACTCCTTACTATTAGGATCACTGGTGGGTGGCGACTCACCTGAGGAATCCAGTGCCTGCGGTTGCTTTGTGCACAAGCAACAACAACCCTCTACCACCCCACCTTCCCCTCCACCTCTCCCAAAACACCCCCCTGAATTTAAGAAACCACCCTTCCACCTCCTCCTCCTCCTCCTATTACTCTGCAACAGCTTCAGCTTTTTCTTGGCCTTCCCAAATCGAAATATAGACACCCTTTTGGGTTCTTTATTACCCCCTTGTCCAGTTTCCTGCCTTAGACCATCCCTTTTTGCTGGGCTACTAGTAACTTCTTCTTCTTCTTCTTCTTTATCATCATACCCACCACCACCACCACTGGAGGATGGATCTTTTATATCAGAACCAGACATATAAAAAAAGAATTTGAATTAATAATTTGTAAGTTTATGAGATGAAAAAATCATGCGTGCACATACTTTGGACCACATAGCAGCAGTAGTACATCAAATACAAGTTGTAAACTAGGCAATGTGTCAGTTGTATTATTGTTAGTATGTTGTACAATAACAAGACAAAGTCGATGCAGTATTGGAGAAACTGTGGGATTTTTCTTAGAGATTGGACACAGAAGAATGGAGAACTAACTTGGATTAGAAAGAAAGAGAGGATGCAAGAGAGAGGATGATGGAGACAGGGGGAGGGGGTCCGAAGGCGAGAAAGGGACTGGGAATTGTCGTTTTTAGCGCCAGAGTTGTCGGGAACACGAGGTCGTAAATTTCGACAGGAAAGGTTGCAGTTTTTCCTCCTTGGATGAGTTTGTGGTTAACCCCTAAGTTTGGAAAAAATTGCAACAACGTCTCTTCTGTATAATTAATGTGAAAATAAAGTCTCTTGAAATGAAAACGATTTTAGTTCCTTGCATTTAAGATGTCGACTCCCTTTCAAATCAATTTTGTCACGCCATTAATTTAGACTTAAAAACCAAACCATCTACAAAATTCTGATTTCCTAATTTTAGCAGCTTCTTTTTTTTGGAGGAGGGTGAAAAACTGAAAACACATCAAATCCTATGAACAAAACCAAGAATCTCTCTCTACAGAGGAAAGACAACGTGTGGGTTTAGGAAGCGGAATATGAGATATGGAGGCAGGAGAGATCTTCCCATTTGTCCAAGTGCTTGTTTTTTCCACTTGGTATGGTTGGCTTCCTGGCGGTGACAGACACCCGTTGCCAAGTAGAAAGTTCGGGGTGAAAAGCGGCACCGAATCTAGACAAGCTTATTTAACTTTCGTTCTTGAAGAATCTTTAATAGAAGATGGCAATGAGGCGAATTAGAATCCAAAGGTCCTTACAATTTAGGATTTGGAGGACACAGGGTCCTAATGAAAATGTTCCAAATTCTTATTAAAGATAAGGAACAAACTTTTGATTTTTAACATTAAATTCCTAATGGTGATGTAGCACATTTTGCGCCACGCAACTCACGAGAAGATGAGTCTGACCCAAGTGTCGGTCCAATTTTTTAAGTGCTTTGATTGAATAAATGAGTTTAGGCAATAAGTACTTTGTCAAATTTACGCTGTACGCATTACTTTATGCATTAAGCACGTGGTGGATCCGTGGCTCATTTTGGTTAAAATTGGCTTGAAAAGATGTTAGAGGACAAAAAAAAAGCATAATTTATATGCTAGGGACTAATGTGACAGTCCCATCTTCCCTAAGGCATATGAAATGGTTTCGTGATTTTTGAATCGTTTAAGCGCGCTAATATCTTCCGGAACATTTGAGATTGTGTGTAATTGTCTTAGTAGTCCTGACGAGAGTTAGACAGACAGTTCGGTTCGACGGATCGCCTTAGGGAAAGGTGGGACTGTCACAACTAAAATGACCCATTTTCATTTCGGGAGACTAATTTTTACATCAGTGATATGTAAGTGATAATTGGTGCAATTTTTCCTCAGAATTTAACTTCAGTGACACTTTATCCTCTGAAGATTTTTTTCGCTCTTCCACCAATGGACCTAAATTAATAAATTATGATCTTTTTGGACGAAAGTTCCTCCAAAAACTTTAAAATATCTCCATTGTTCATTTAAAAGAAACAAAATCACCTCTTTTTATTTATACTGTTCTTTCTCAGTTTTGTCCATGCTACTTTTAAGTTATTGACTGGTATTATAATTGATTACTTGTACCATATGAGGGATATTCTATCTTTATAACGATCATTAGTCAGTGGATTATTTTGCAGGGTTGCTCAATCTATGTGACCATCAGCAGCTAATTGTCGATTTTCCACCATTTTTTAGAGAAATTAAGTGGGTTTTTAAGGATAAAATTTTATTGTTTTGATAGATGAAATATAAATCAAAGTAAAGAAATTTTAAAAAAAAAAGGAAAGCAAAATGTGTCAATTATGAGGCATATATATTTAGCACATAAAATATTCATTAGACAAAGAATTGCAAGCTCATATTTTGGTCACTGTAGGAATTGGATTCGAACTTTAGTCAACCCTTTCTCATTTCTCATTGATGGACTTGAATTTCAGAAACCCTTGTTTGGATTGCCATTTTTCGCCGAAAAATTACGTCATTTTCCGTGATCACATTTCCCTATTATCTTTTTCTTTCACATACATCAAATCGTTACAGTAATTTTTTCATAGAAAATGACGAAAAATGCAATCCAAATGGGAAAATTCTTAGCGGACAAAATACTTGTAGTTTTTTGGAGTTTTCATAAAAAAAATATACTATATTGATTTGATGTATATAAAATAAAAATATAATTAAAAAATATATTTACGGAAAACGAAAAAAACTTTTGACAAAAAAAAATGCCTTTTCAAACAAGACCTTAACTTTTGGGGGGGTTGTTGCAATTTACTGTCGTTCTTTCTGCAAGAGTTTTTTAAGTAGGTTGGGGAACTTCACACCAGAAGTTGATGACACGTGGGGCAAGCCACGTCGTAAATGACATTTTAAGTCTAAAAGTTTACTGCGGTAATCAATACTTTGTGGACTGGACTCAGATTCCTTCGCCAACCAAAGATAACCCAAAAAGAATAAGGTTGACCCCAGTAAGTAATAACGATGAGCTTGAACTTCACTGTCAGCTACTGATAGCTGATGAGTATATGGCAGGAAAAGTTTTATGTAACCCCTGAATGCACAACATAATGTACAAAATTAAAAAAAAGGGTTTAGAAGGACAAAAGGTTGGATCATTTTTATTTGCTTGCAAAAGTTCAAAATTTTAATACAAAATTGTATGCAGAATACTTTAAGGCACAAAATAACAAAAAATAATTAATCTTTTCTATACTGATAATATATACCATTTGCGTTAAATGAATCATAATTATATAAATTTAAAATTTAACTTTTACATATGTATTATGGATCAACCTGATAATAATAATGGACATAGTGGACCTCGATTAATTTAGAGTTGAGAGGATAGGGGGGGGAGGGGGGTTTGTTTAGGATGATATCGGGCTCTTGAAGTTGAATGCAAGTTGATGAATATATGTTAGTAGAATATTCTAATAAGATCCTGCCCTGTAATAACACTTCATTTTTTGTTAATAACACTTGCATTCTTGACAGTACAAGTTGGTTCAATTCGTAAGAACTGATCATTTCATCACAAAAAGTCTTCTGATATGAGAGTTGTGTTGTGAACGATCTGTAAGAATCCTTATAAATCACCTATGATCCTAGAGGTATATGTCCAAATCCATAATAATAATTGAAATTGAACTCATCCAAATTTCTTTATATAAAAAAATTGTATCCTCAACAATTAAAAACAAAATAAAGTAGCATAAAACATTCCCTCCCCACAAAAAAAAAGAAAAAAGAAAAAAAAGAAGAAAGATCCTGTTGTGTATCTCATGTCATCCGATTATGACCATATGAAATGCAATTAGAACTTCCACTGTTAGACACCTAGAAATTTTTGTACTTGTACAAGTATGTGTGTGTGTGTATATATTATGAGTTGCGAGATTAAGACACAAGTTTCAATCTATTGTTGGTCAGTAAAATTTAGGGTACAATACACTTTACTCCCCCATACTTTAGCAATTTTTCATATAACTCCCTATAGTTTTAAAATTATACATAAACTGCCTATGGTTTGAACTAAAGTGTTAAAATGACGAAAATGAATATCTGTAACAGAACTCATGGCTGAAGTGATCAAAATATATAAATATAACATGCATGATACTTCAACCCTTTATGATTTGGATTAAAGTGTCAAACTGACGAAAATGATTCTCTATAACAGAGCTCATGGAAATGTCTACATTACCCTTGTTTAAAAACTAAAATGGCTGAAGTGATCAAAATATATAAACATAATATGCATGACACTTCAACCCCTTATGATTTTAGATTTTACCACATAACCCCTTATGGTTTAGTATTTACCATATGGTCCTCTTATGATTTTCAAGATATATGCATAACCCCCCTATGATTAATAAATAATTTTCAACTTCACATAAGAGTACTTTTGATATTTTAATTAATTCCGTTATGAAATATAAACTCCGTCACTTTAACACTTTAGTCTAAACTATGAGAAGTTAAGTATAAATTTTAAAATCACAAGGGATTATGTGAAAAAACGCTAAACGATAAGAGATCAAATTGTAACTTAACCTAATCAAGGCCAGTGAACCAATTCTGCAACTAATGTCAGCAAAAGCAACAAAATTGTAACTGTGCGCATTTTGGATTAACAAATAGTTGAATATTGCTGTACAAAATGAATTATGGGATTTACATACTATTGTTGTTTTCAACGTATTATTCAACAGTTCCTCAACATTTCTTCGCAATGTGTCGAACCAATTAGTTACAAAATATTCTAGTCCAAGAATATCATGCATATCATTAATAAGAATAAAGTTTAATTCCTAAAGTATACTTGCACAGAGTTTGATCATTCATGTAACTTCTGAGGCTTGAAGTTATTCAAAAACCTTTGACCTGTATCAATGATCTTATTACGGTTTAAACTCCATATTTGTCATAGCAAAATGTTTATAATATTTCTGAAGCAGCCTTAGGACCTTAGCAACACATGGTAAAGGGAGGTGATAAGAATTAGATGCTTTGGATTCAAACTTCATTCAATTTGAGTTTGAATTATGTGTTATTTATCTCGCTATTTTTGGATTACTTGTAACGTAATAAATTTTAGGGTAAAATATAGAAAAACCTCTTGAGGTTAAACGAACATATAGAAAACCCCCCTATGGTTTCAAAACATACACTCAAGTATCTCATGATTTGAACTAATTTAAAAAAGTAACGGAAATCGTTTGAATTAACGGGTTAAAAATACACACTCTTCTTTTGCGAGTATTTGTACCGGAAACAAACAAATTTTCAGTTGATACATCTATTATACCCTTAGAGTTATAATATAAAAAAGTCCCATGTGGTTAAGGAAACCTACAGAGAAAGTCCCTTATGATATCAAATCATACAAACCAATGCCTCGTGGTTTGAACTAATGTGAAAAATCAACAAAAATCATTTAAATTAACAAGTTTGAGGTTGCTTGATATGAAAAATTATTTTTTAATTTAAATTTTTAGCTAATATATCTATTAAACCTCTTAGAACTCATAAAATTTTCAAAAACAACCCAAAACTCTCAAATACAACTCACCTTATTTCGATACATAAAATAAATAAATAAAAATTTTCAAATAAAACTCGCCTTATTTTTATACATAAAATAAATAAATAAAAACTTTCAAATACAACTTAACTTATTCCTATGCACAAAATAAATAAATAAAAGTAACATGTAACCATTGGGAGTTTTTTAGTAAGTTTGCTTAATATGATAGTTGTTAAAAGATCTTTTATTGCTTATATATATTAGGGTAATTGTGTCATTTTATCCGCATCATTAGTTTTGATTAGAACTGTTAAACGAACCGAGCTGTTTGTTAGTTCGATTCGTTTCGGCTCGTTCGTGTTCGTTAAAGGCTCGTTCGAAAGCCTTAAACGAACGAACACGAACGAATTTTTGTGTTCGTTTAATAATCGAGCGAACACGAACATGTTCGCGAATTTTAACGAGCGTTCGCGAACAAGGATATAATTGTCATTTGACAAATTTTAGGGTTACTCATAAGAAATTCTAAAACTTTCCCCTTCCCTTTCCAACCTTACTTTTGTTTTCCTTCCCCATTGGCTGCTGCCGAAAATTTGTACTTGTCCTATGGTTGAATTTTTATATTTGAAGGACAAATTACTTTGTTTTATTTGTTGTTTTTATGTTAATGTTGGTTATGCAGTTATTGAATAATGGAATTTAGTCATTTAGTATTTTAATTATTTTTTAGGATGATTAATGATTTGTGTGGCATATTTAAGGCCTAGAATAATCTAGATTCGAACTTTTCGAGCGTGTTCGCGAACGGCTCGTTTATGTTAAACGAGCCGAACACGAACACGAACACGAATTTTACTTAACGAGCCGAACACGAACACAGATTTAGAGTTCGAAAGTTAACGAACGAACACGAACGGAGTTCGAATCGCTTAACGAACAGAGCTCAAACATGAGATACTCGGTTCGTTTCGGTTCGTTTACAGCTCTGGTTTTGACGATTTCCGTTGCTGTTTCAAATTAGTTCAAACCATGAGGAGTCGAAATATACAATTTGAAACCATCAGAAACTTTTCCTTAGATTAACTTAATCACAGGACGCTTTTTTGTATTTTATCCTAAATTTTAATTGCTTCCATCATTGTGGGTCAGTTATGGATCTTGTGAAAAAGAAAAAGCACTGGTTATTGAGCATAGAATCAACCTCTGTATTTTTAAGTGTAGGTTATTAAATTGGCAGGAAAAGAATCAATGATGGGAGACTGGAAGTGCCCTAGGGCAGTTACAGTAAACGACCCTTCAGAAAAACAAAAACCTCTTAGAGGATGTCCACTAAATTCTTGCCACAGAACAAAAGAACGAGAAATGGTGCCTGGTACATTGAATTTAAAAATTAGTACACAAAAGGGGGGCCAACTGAATTCAAGATTTCAGAAACTGCTGTTGTAATAGAATAATGATGGTTGAGGTCACTTGAATATTCTGTATTGTTGAGATCATAAGATTCATAACTGGCTTTACTCAACATCTAATGTTGGGGAATGGCAGTGAAATTTACACATCTAAGGTGACTAAAATCAATCACACACTTGGAAAATATGTACGTCCTGTTATGAACTCTTTGTTTATATATGTCAATTAAAAGCTAGCATTGCCCAGCATTTCTTTCAGACTTTTCATCTTTTCAATTCTGCCTTGACAAGGGAAGAAGTCATCCCCACATATATATATTTGTTTGGTAGGAATGTACTTCTTTTTGAATATTCTGTATTGTTGAGATCATAAGATTCATAACTGGCTTTACTCAACATCTAATGTTGGGGAATGGCAGTGAAATTTACACATCTAAGGTGACTAAAATCAATCACACACTTGGAAAATATGTACGTCCTGTTATGAACTCTTTGTTTATATATGTCAATTAAAAGCTAGCATTGCCCAGCATTTCTTTCAGACTTTTCATCTTTTCAATTCTGCCTTGACAAGGGAAGAAGTCATCCCCACATATATATATTTGTTTGGTAGGAATGTACTTCTTTTTTCTTCCTCTTGTCTGATCAATATATTCCACCAAGAACGGTTGGAACTAGTGGAGAATCAACCCAATGAATGCTCATTAAAAGTATCTTTAGCTTCACAAAACAAGTTTATATTATATTATCCACTGATGATGCTGTCTGGATTACATTAGATAGAGGTTTGGTTGTTAGGTAATCCCTTCTTAATTTGAGGGAAAAAATAAAGGAAGAGATAAACAAGAAAACTTATCATGATCTTTCCAAGTTGTAAAGATGTAAAGCATGCAGCTTTTAAACCAGTCCCTTGTCCCTAATCCCCAGACATGGCCACCTCTTTCAGGTACCTATTCAAACAATGTAAAAACTAAAACCCTGCCACCTTCCTGGTTACTCCCTCTTTCTCATGATTAAATGAACCCATAAAGTCCCTTCTAGGACTAGTACCGTATATATTTAATTAAGGGGCCATCATCAAATTTGGTGTTAAGTAGGAAAAGAAGAGAAGAAGGAGGTAGATATCCATCAAGGCCTACGATTGCATTGGAGGGTGACAAACTACAGTTGATCAAGACTAAGCAAAATCAATGAGGAGATCAGCATCAAGGAAAATGTTGTGGTGGGTACTGGTGCCTGGTACAAGAAAGAAGAGTTTGAAGGCTGAATCGAGGATGGACATTGAGGAAATACTCAAGATGAAGCTTGCGACCATCATAGAAGAAGAGCCAGAAACTATTGATCAGGAAAATGGTGGAATACTCACAACCAAGCATAATTCATCATGCGTGAGCAAAAAGGGCAAAAAGATTCATCTCAAGGTGAAAATGGGACGACTTTTCCAGCCACATTTTAGCCTTAAAGAATCTTATGTGATATTTATGACTGGATTGGCCTGCAGAGGAGGATTGCATGGACTCCCTCGATGCTAATAAGACCATGTTAATTAGATTTCAGCAGCAGCATCAAGACCTGAAGCAGGTGAATCTTTTGAGTGCTTCTTCAGCATCTTTTTTCTTTTTCAACTGCTGATATGTAAATTCCTTTGTCACTCCTTCTGTGAACTCCATATTGTCTCAATGGCTGCTGGCAGAGTCGTTTTCCTAATTGTTGACAAGTTGCAAGAAGCAGCATCTCAAATTTAGAGATATGATCATGTTCTTGTTCACATTCGAATTGTTTATTTAGCTTTGTTGTACAACACTGATTCCTCTGGTTGTATTACTGAATGGGACCTTAGTTAGGATTTTTGTGTTTCTTGTTCAGCTGGACATGTCTTATATATTGATATGTTTTGTGGAGCAAAACCTTTAAGGATTGACAATAGTGCAAAAGAATCCAGAAGCTGATTAAATTCAGTGATGGCGACTTACCTAATATATTCAATTCTTGTTTTCATGTTGTACTTCTGTGTGGCTGCAAGTTGAGAAGAGATGATATACTAGCCTACCTGGAGATTTTGCTCCAGTACAATTTCAATATTTTCCCAAAAAAAAAAAAAAAGTATAATTTCAATAGGCAAATATTAGGTGGCAAATGGGATGGACATGGGGTAAACAATTTGGCATTCTATTTATATATATACTCTTTTTCTTTTTCTTTTTCTTTTTATGGACCAAATATACTCTGACATTATTGATAGATCCAAATTTTAATTTGCTAAAATTTTCCAATTTTATACTCCTGTCCCAAATGGATTTTAGTAAAGGCACACAATTTCGATCACTTATAGTATCCTCTCTCAGAGATAACCAGCCTCTCCAAATAAAATCTACACACACACACACACACATGTGTGTGTGTGTGTGTGTATATATATATATATATATATATATCAACCAAAAAAAAAAAACTAGAGATACCTGTTCACATATGAGCTTAAAGTCCATTTTAATAAAGAATTAATTTTCTATATACCGACAGTATATACACTAGCATCTCACTCAAATTATGTACGAGTATATTAAATATCAGTGATAAACACAATCATAATGAACAAATTTATAAACAAATGGGTAGTCACAATATCTGTGTGGCCATGTTTTCGTATTGTGCTTCCTGAATAATTCATGAATATGTTCCTTATCTTCTCGAGGCCCGCCCACTATTTTTTTTTTAAAGGAAAATCATTAGCAGCTAAGGAAAGTAAATCATAAATCCAGGTGCTCAACCTTTTCTTTTCACGCTCAAGCACGTTGCAGCGCTACCGTTTCATAATTACGTATGCTTGTTGTATGGCAACAAAGATTTACTTAAAGCTCTAATCCATCAAAGAGCACATCAGAGGCCTTACTATATTTATCTATAGAAACATGGGAGAACCCATTTAAAGGAAGGAAAATCCATATTCATAATGAGCTTTATGATTCTAATACTGATTCGATTCCAGAATACGAAGCAAACACCTTCTCAGCCTAAAATCTTAAAACCCACATTTGATCATCAAAAACTGCGTCAATCATCAACTCTTGATTTCCAAGAATTTTTTGTTTGGCAATGTACACCAGATTAGCCTCAAGCATATAGCTTTCTCCTAAAGCTGATTTCGCTAGGCCCAAAGAATAACTACTACCCTGAAAATAGTATGATCCAAAACAAGAAACAACCTCAGAAATAAATGGGGAGATGACAGAGTCCTTAACCTTAAAGATCATATAATGCCCCCCATCGGCTAAAGTTGGTGGTGATGGTCCATAATCTGCACCCCATTAATTAGAAATCATACCAGGGTATGTTAACGTTTCTCTGTGTCCAATCAAGTCACACAATATTTGCAACTTAATGAAGGGGGTCAGTGACTTAGTACATACATGCATTAATTTGTCATGGGGTTGGTACATGATAAATTGTTGCCAGCAGGTGACCATGGCCTACTTCTACTGTAGCTTCTACTAATTGTGGCCAAGCTGAGGCTAAGTACATTAAGTTTATCTGTCCATGCAATCGTACAGAAAGTTATGAACACCTGGCCATACAGAAAATATTAGTTTATTTAAAACAAAAATATCATTGAACCAAGTTGACGAAATTGTTTTGGAAATGATTCTGCAAATGGGCAAGTTGCATAAGAGTTCGATGAATTCATTAATTAAGAAAACAAGTAACTTGTTTGTGAAGAGTCAATTTTGCAGCACGTTTTATCCAGTAATTTTTCCACATTTGTGTAGCATCACAGCATTCTGAGATGAGAGCACCGCATATAATGAAGCGCAGTAGCATAATTAACATTTAAGTGAAGAGCCTTTCTATCTCCATGTTTATGTGGGAGACTGGAGTAGAGTTCTTGGTTACATAAGAACAGAACAAAAGCAAAAGCTACTAGTGATCATGTGGACTTTTTGTAAATTATCACTATAAGTGGATGATGATGTGCAACTCTGCATGCTTTGGACGATTGGAATATACTACTGCTCAGATCTCTGTCTATAATCTAGTGATTTTGCAAGAATTGGATGATATATAAACACAGAATCGAGATGATAAAGAATATGATGCTCAAAATTTATTTGTTACAGTCTTGCAGAAATGGTCATTGATAGCAGGCTAGTGCCCTATCCGAATAAAAAGCACTCCTCCTGCAATGAAAAGCACTGGAATGGGAAAGAACTGGAAGTCCCCATTGGCAAGAGAATATAATTGCAGGGCATAAATCATCCATCTTCATCCTTTTCACAGTAGCAGCATAGATGGCAGCAATTCTTCTTGGCAATACAACAAGAGAGAATGGCTTCCAATTCAGCTTTCTGGATCGCGATAGTCTGAGCCCTTTGAACCTCCCATTCAATTTCTTGAAACAGCATCGTCGAGGCCTTGCCATATTTTCACCACTGCTAGTTAGCCTCTCATATCTGGTATTCATCCAACGTACCTCAGCCATCAGCGTTAAGATGAATGCAGACAAATGCCAAAGATGAAAGGAATTTGATGAAGATACTATCTATATTCAGAGAATATTTACTTGTAGGATATGCTTTCTCCTTGGTACATATGTATGTTTATATAGAGGGTGGAGAATCAAGTTGCTGCTAGAAAGAGAGGATGCATCCATAGTTAAGCACATGGAGAATCTGGGTGTGAGTTTTACTCCAAGCCTATAACTAATAACAGAAATGGCTGATGTTTGACTGCAATTGATTCCTCCAACACATGGCCCCCAATATACTCTAATCCAATTCATTGTGCTTGAGGGAAAGAAGAAAAGAGGCAGAGGTATAAAATTACTGAGGTGGTTGGTTCTTGGATGATAGCGATGCTCGTCTTTCCTTTTTCACACATGGCTAGCATAATGAATTTAACCAACTTAATTACCAACTTGGTATACTTCTAAGTTCTTTGCTGTTCTCTACTTCTTCCTTGGAGTTTGTGAGGTGATCTGATTCGCAAATGATAAGGGAATATTGAGGGACATGTGCAATGATTGATGCACATATAGAAAAACTTAAAAGGTCAATATTTCTTGTAAAAATGGAATGAAGCTGCAAGCCTGCAATCTATAACAGAACAGAATCTTTTACTTTCTTAATGTTTGACAGGGATTAGTGTGTAAACATTCGTCTAATATGACAAAGATTAGTCAAGCTTTGGACTAATAAGCCCAAATTCTCCATTTTGAGCAAGCAATAGCTACAGATTCCTTCTTAGCTAAGCCTAGTTCAAGTCCTTTTCCCCATTGGTTGGTGGGGATCTTAATTAGGTTGATAATGCAAGGCATGAACCTAGTCCCAAACTAAGCTGCAAGCAATCAGTTCAGAACTCCAAGGTGGCCTAGCTGTTGATATCTGTAAAAAGGTTGCTTACTTGCACCTGTTGATAGGTGGCCTAGGTTGCATATAAGTTCAAATTCTGCTTTGGATGAGTAAAAGAACCGATTTGTTTACAGTAAGGATTATCATTGGTTTTGAATCCATAGAATAGCTTAAGCAGGCCACTTCCAAGCTTTGTTATACGGCGCAAATCTTGATGTAATGTAGGAAAGTTTTATGCCTGCTTAAAGCGGTCAATCAATAGTATCTAATTATCTGTCTTGAATCCATTGGCTTTGTCCATTCTGTCAATGAATTAAAGTCAGCAAATATACCTCGCAATCCAAGTAGCTTGAACCTGGTATAGACACCAGCCTTTCTTGCCACATAGTTAAATGAACTATACTAGTAGATACAGATCAAGATTATTGTCTTACTAAATGATTAGGGAAGCTTAAACTGTAGATCAATGTGCTTTGCTGGGACTAATAAATATTTGATTTCTTGGCAGACATGGGATTATGAGGGCACTTGGGGCAGTCACTGTGCTGCCCACATGAATAAAACAAACAGTATTAGGTTGAGGGAATCTAATGACCTGTGAGCAGCATCCAATAGGCCAAAACAAATCATAGTGACGACTGATGAGTGAGTGCTTCGCACTGAAATTCCTGTTTAATGAAATTATTGAAGAAAAACAAAAGCACAAGTTATTGGGAAAAAAAAAGGGCATAATTTACTGCTCTGGGAAAAACTTTATGATTGATGCAAAATTTAGGTGAAAACGGGATTGGTTGAATTCTTTTAGATGAAAACTTGCATGTAAGAAGCCTTAGCTGTGCAAATGAACAAAACAGGAAAAGGAATAGTAGCAAGAGATTCAAAAGGGGATTTGCCGAAGGTTTGGGCACTGCAGGAGCAAAAAAGGGGTGAGCCCCTCACTAAAGAAGCCTTAGCAGGTAAGGGAAGCACAACTGATGGGACTGGAAGCTGGATGGAGAAGACTTGAATTCCAGTCGGACGGTAAAGGGCTAATAGAGAAAATCACATCAGGTAACAGTAAGGATAGCAATATTAAGACAGTACTGGAAGACATCCTGGAGTTAAGAGAGCTGTTTGATCAATGCAATTTCTCTTTTGTTCATAGGTCAGAAACTATGTTTGTCATAAACTAGCTAAATTTGCAACTAGGCTAGTTAATGATATAAAATGGGACACTAGTTTCCCAGTGTGAGTCAAAGATTTCGCACAAAAAGATTATAGGACAGTTGTTTCTTTATGTAGTTAAGACTGATATTATCAAGTTGAAAGATATAATATAATGCCGTTTTGACAAAAGAAAAAAAAAAAAAAAAAAAACTTGCATGTAAGAGGAAAACCAGGAAACCAAAGCCTGAGAAAATGTTCCCAGTCTCACTTAACGACAATCAACACACAAACCTAAAAGCTACCTATAGTGTTGCAATGTTTCGACCAATTTTGGGCTTCTAACAAAATTAGGCTTAGCTTTAGAGGTTGATATTTCCCGGTGAAATTCGAGTGTTGTTGTATGCAGATGTCAGGAACACTAGGTAAAGCGACGTAGCTTTGGGGAATGCGGAGTCGTTTTGAAGGCAGCTCAGACTTCTGGCACATACGGTGTCGTTGCACTTAAGA